GCGGGGTCCGTGCTGACGGTGACGGACTCCCTGCTGGTTGCCGCGAGGCCGACGCCGCTTGTGTATCCTCCCGGCTCGCAGTCCTCGCCGTACGCACCGGTGCTGGTGCTGTCGGGCCTGCGGCTCGTGTGGTCCGTGCTGGTTGTGTCCGGCGTTGCCCTCGTGACCGTGATGACTGGTGGGCGGACGGTGGTGGTGGACGGCGCCGTGCTGGAGCTTTTCGGTGGCGGTGTTGCGCTGGACGCGGCTGTGCTCGGTGGCGACTATGCGTTGTACGCGAGTGCGCGCGTGGTTGCGTCGGGGGGCGCTGTGCTGCGCGTGTCGGGGAGCCAGGTGTACGCCGCGCATGGATTGGTGTTTGACAGCGGGGTGGAGGCCAACACGTCCGCCGTCGTAGTGAACGACAACGCCGGTGCGCTGACCGATGGCGCGCTGCTGGTGCTGCGGGGGTCGGCGTCGTTTGAGTCCGGGTCGTGGCTGTCGGTGCGCGGCAACAGCATCAGCGGCACGCTCCTGTCGGTGCCGTCGTACCCGCGCAGTGCGGAGCTCGTGCAGAGCACGCTGACGCTCCACGGGAACGCCGGCAGTGGGCCCGTCGTGATGGACGGCACCGTTACGCTTGGGGGCGCCGGCCGAAAGTTCGTCGTGGGGTGCCTGATGCTGAACGGGCAGGCATTGCAGCCGATGGACTACAGGTCCGCCGGCATAATCGGGGAATTCCGCCCCGTGGCGTGTGGCGTGTGCGACGCCGACGTGAGCTGCTTTGCTGCTGCGACGAGGGCGATGTCGGGGTCGTGTCGCTGCCGCTTCGCTGAGGGCGGGTACGGGCGCGACTGCCTGCCGGTTTACCTGCCGCACGTGGACGGGTGCAACCGCACGCCTGGCATGCCGCTGCTGAGCCACACGGCGACGCTGACGGAGACGCGCAGCCTGACACCAACGGGGACACTGAGCCCAAGCGCGACGCACTACAGTCCGACGCAGTACGGGCCGACGGAGACGCTGCAGGTGACGGAGACGGTGGCGCTGTCGCCCACGCGGACCCCGACGGCGTCGGTGAGCAGCACGCTGTGGTGGAGCGACGTGGCGTGCCCGACGCTCGCCGTGACGACGACGGCGGCTGGTGGGAGCCTGACGCAGAACGACATCCGCGGCGGTGGGAGCGCCGTCCCGACGCTGCTGATGGTGGCGCTGCCGCCGCCGTTTCGGTGGGCAAGTGACCCGCAGATTGGCACGCACCTGAGCTTCGTGCCGGTGCCGACGGCGCAGCCGAGCGGGTTTGGCGGTCCGTGGGGAGCGATGCTGAGCAACGCGACGTATCCGTCCACCGTCCTGGAGCTGGCCGTGCCCGTGCACCGCGGTTACTTCATTGGTGCCGACGAGACGATAGTCATTCGCTGCGACGCTGTGGCAGTGTCCGGCGGCTGCAAGGGTGTGCTGCTTGGGTCCTTCACGATCAGGTCGAACACGCTGCCCGCCGTTGCCAGCGCCCTCTCGGCGATCACCGGCGTTGTTGCGGGTGCGACGGCTGTTGCCGTGGTGATGACCGGCGGGCTGGGCTCCATCCTGGAGATGCAGGCACTCGGCGTGTTTGCGAGGATGCCATGTGCCTCGGCGCAGGAGCGTGCGAGCACCGTTGCGCTGCCGTACTTCCTGTCGGTGTTCGCTGCCCTTGACCCGCTGTGGATGGTGGTGGGCAACGCGCTGCTCGCCGCTGTGTTTGGCTGCGTGCACTACGGTGTGACGGCGGCCTTCCAGCGGCGGCGAGTGCGTGGGCGGCGATGCGCTTCCCGAGCCTGACGTACGTTGTGGCGCACGCGATGCACCTCGGCATCTTTTTTGGCTCCGTGCTCGCACTGGCGATGCCCGGTGCCCGCGTGCAGCACCGCGTGGTTGGAGTCGTTGGCGTGCTGTACGGTGTGGCGTTTCCTGCTGGTGTGTGCTACTTGATTGCCCGCCACACGGGCGCGAGCTTCACGAGGTACTGGCAGTTTTCGAGGAAGCCGCTGCACGAGCGCCTGCTGTACCCCGTCGGGTATTGGCACCCCGCGGCGCAGCAGCGGATGTACGGCGGCACGCTGACGAACATGAGGGGCAGCCACGTGTACTGGTGCGTGTTCCAGCTGTCGGTGCTGTGTGTGGTGGGCCTGATTGCGGCTGTGCACCCGCCCGTGGGAGGCTGCCACGTCCTGTACTTCTGCATGGCTGCTGTGCTGCTTGCGGGCGCGGGCGTGGTTGCCTTCACAAACATGATGCGCTCGGCCTTCCTGACGGTGATGCGCACGGCGAGCTTTGTGCTGCTTGCGGCGCTGTGCGTGATCAGCGCGGCCAACCACCTTGCGCCGGGCGACAGCGGTGCGAGGGCGTACGCGGCTATCGTGCTGCTGCTGGCGACTGTGTACAGCGTTGTTTTTTGGTACGCGGAGGACCACCACTGGCAGGAGCTGCGCGAGCCGCGGCGTGGAGGGCTGGAGGCGCTGCTGCGCGATGACGAGGAGAGCGACGAAGAGACGCAGAGGCTCCATGAAATGACGTCATCGTCGTACGCCTCAGGCACCACCGTTGCGGCTTTGCACCGATCACCCGCACCGCCGTAGCAGCCTGTGGCTGGTGACACCCGCTCAGAGGCCCTGAGCCTGCCGGAAATTGCATCCAGTGCGAGCTGCAGCATTAATTATGCCCCTCTGGACAGCTGAAGATGCTGCGCTTGACGAAAAAATTTGGCGCAGTTTCTTCTTTTCGAGGTGGAAAGGCTTTGCCCCCCAACAGTAGCGTTACGCGGCGAGAAGGCACAAAGCCCCTTGCAGATGCGGCATGACGTGGATGCTTCTGGCAGATATATTTTCCCGTTACATTATTTATGGATTGATTGGGTGATTGATTTGTTGCTTTTATTTTATTTTATTGTTTATCGACGAAAACGGATTATCGAACTATCACGCTATCCCGGCGCGTATGCGTAACGTGTGCGTGTGCGTGTGTTTTACGCTCTTCGCTGCAGCACCGAGTATGGGGGCTGGTGTCTCTCTCTCTCTTTCATATCTGTACTTAGTAATGAGGACGTGCTCGACGGCGGTGGCTGGTGTGCGGGCCATAGGATGCATTCAGGAAAGCGTTAGGGAAAACAATCGATGAAGCCCTTCTGCGAAGCGTTACCTCCTGGAGGTTGTGAGTGTGCGTTGCTGGCTGACATGAGGGAGGACGTGGGGGCCACGGCTGTGCGGATGCGCGGCCACCCATCGGACTCCGCACCGACCGCGTCATTGATTGTTGGGTTTTTGTTGGGTTTTTTCTATTTTTGTGCGGGTGCCTGCAGTGGCACTCTCTCTCCTGTTCCACGATGACTGTGTGGGAGGGCATGCTCGTCACTCCTTATACTTCTGGTGTTGTATGGAAGGAACGGCAAAAAAATATGTGGGATGATGTTTTTTTTTTTTTTTTTTTTTTTTTTTTGCGTATGTGTGTATATATTTATCGACGTGTTTCTGTGGATTATTTTATTATTTCTTCCACCCTTCTTTTTTTTTTTTTGCGTTGTTCCACACGTGTCTCAGTGTTTGCTTTAGTACGGCCACACACGGGTATCTTGAGCCGCGAATAGTTTTTTCTTTTTTTGTGTCATTTTCTGTTAGGCACTAACGCGGGCACGTTCGTCAATTGCCCACTCTCCACGGCATGGTGCCTGATATTTTGGAGTTATCTCAGATGTAACGCAGGCACCGCCGCCGTGGCACGCATGGGAAGTAAGGTTTAACGCGGGATAGCAAAAGATATTGTGCTGCACATGTGTCTGTTGCATTTGTTCTGTTGAGGAGGTTTCAATGTAGAAGAAGAGGGATGAACACTGCACGATTCTGTGAATTGGAGTTATTATGCCTCATTATTATTTTTGGTATGATCTCTGGTTCCCACCCGTGCCTGCCCCGATTTGCCTCCCCTGAGTGGAGCTGCGCCATGGCCGTCCTTTTTTTTTTGTTTGCAGGAGGAAAAACACATTGCGAGCGACGAAACCACACGTCATGCATGCGGCGTCCAGGGAGGTACGTATTTGAGGTGGAGCGCACATATGTGGAGGTCATGTGAGACGAAGCGGGGGTTTGACTGCCTAGCCGTCACTCCTTTTCTGGAGAGTGTGCTCTTATTTTTTTCTGCCCTTTTGTGACAGGGCACGGCGGGATTGGGGAGCATCGTCCTACGAAAGGTCTTGCACACATACACACTCTCATGCCACTGTCGCCCCGAAGTGGGGTACAAAATACAAATCCTGCTGCTTTTTGCATTGGCGCAATTATTTTTACTTAACTGACGCCATTCTGTCCGGCGTGCCACTTTGATTGGATTGTGTGGGACTGCTCGCCAACACCATCAAAGAAAACAGGCTGAAGAGTTTACTTATTTAAACGTCATCTTTTGCGCACGTATTTTCTTACGTTCTGTTGGTGTGCACTCAAACAGCGAGGTGTCCGGAACTATGCGTGCGTGTAATTCTTTTCTGCCATGTGAACTGCGGGCAACACCGAGGGGCTGCCACTTTTACTCCGCAGAGTTGTTGCGTCTCTTCGCAGGGTTGGCAGGGATATTCCATGCAGCCAGCTACTGCTGCTGTGTCCTCAAATGTTGTCACTCCATGCGAATAATGTGCTTCAGCGAGTGAGTGGGATGATTGGGTTTGTGTGCACGTTTATTGTGTTTGCTACTTTGTGTGGGCACGCAATACTTGAGGGGTGGGAAAATGGAGCGGGGCGATGCATGGCCGCGTCTCGCCCATCGTTCACTGCACGATGGTGTGGTGCACATTGTGGTGCTGACTCTGCGATGTAACTGCGGTCTCCTATGCTGCAATGGTGGTGGGTGGAGGAGAGTGTTGACCCGCGGCGGGACGGTGGGATCGTGCCTCCTTTATTTTTATTTGTGAAGGTGCACATTTATTACTAGTGTTAGTGATAGGGAAAACAAACAGACAACGTGAATTAAACAAAATAAAATAGAAAAGGACGATAATGTGGCGGTGTTGTGGCCGATTGCACGTTGCGTTGCTGCGGGGGCGGCGGCCATTGATTGTTTCACCGACAGGCGTTGCAGTGCGGCTGCATGGCGCACCGACCGCCCCGCCGTGCGAGTGCCACGCCCAACGCTATTGGGACTGCGGGAGGAAACAGCCGCGAGTGTCCTTTGGAGCCAGCGGCACCTGCTGGCCGCAGTTGGGCGGTGCGAGTGGGATGCTTCACCGCACGGGTGTTGTGATGGCACCTCGAAGCGGCATCCCCGGCGATGGTTCCGACGCTGCAACTCGCAGAGGAGTGGAGGAAACGCAGCAACCAAAGTGGACCATGAGCAGCAGCGTAGAGGACATGCTGCTGGAGGGAAGCACTAACTGGACCAACATGAAGCTGAATGATTTCCTTCGGAGCTACTTGGGCGGCACGGCGGCTGTTGATGAAGACCTCAACGTGACGATGCAGGCGTTTGTTCGGAGTCCCAATGCTTACGTACAAGAACCGCAGCTTCTTGAAGGGATTATTAATTTAACAGAGTACCAAGCGCTGGAGGAAAGGAAAATACTATTGGAGGCTATTAATAAGCTTCGTCACGAGGGTGTTGTCTCGCTTGAACAATGGAGGGACTATGAAGGAAAGGATACAATCACTCCTTTTCCAAAGGCAAAACTAAACAGAGTTCTCACTCAGATACAGACAGAAGAAAGGCTGAGACGAGCGCAAGGAATGAAATTTACCATTTCCACTAATATCGAAGATGTACTGTTTAAAGGAGGAGTCCGCGTCAATGAAATGAAGCTGAATGATTTTCTTACGATGGAATTGGGCGGCAGGGGCGTTGTGGCCACCAATCGGAGTGTTTTGCTGAAGGAGTTTTTCAAGGATCCCAAGAAATATATCCGTGTTAAAGGAGCGTTGAAAGAAATACAGGCATCAGATGCTTATGCGAGGATGGAGGGGGCTGTGAGGGATGAAATAATCTTCGAAGAAGATCAAAGTAAGCTTCGCGATAAGGATGTCAAGAATCTACTTGGGTGGTCAGAAGCTGCTGCAAACGTAAAAACAACTGTTCATAACTTCACTAAACGGTTATTGGATGCAGCCCTTGAGGAGGTGAGGAACCCAATGAGGATGAGTGCAGCGATGAAACTGGAGGGATTGTACGAGTCTGTGTACAATGCGAGGTGGAGCCATGTCGTGGAAGTTCCTGACAGCAAGAAAACGAACAAGGGGATGGGAATGGAGGCGAAGGAGGGGAAACCAGAAAAGTCATGGAGGTACAATGCAGTTGGCGAAACTTTCGAAAGGAATGACGCCGTGCAGAAATCCGGTGAAGCACCTCCCAGGCTGATGGTGCTCGCCTCGGACAAGGGATGGCCGTACTCGTGGCATATGACACAGGATTCCTCGAAGGACTTTTTTGTTAACTGCGAGGTTGAACGAGTGTGGCGGATCGTCAGGAATGATTTAGCCGAGTGGCTCAGCAACTTTGACTTGGCTCTCAGTTCTTCACCCGTGTGGCGTCTGTTGATTGGGACGCCCGGGATCGGGAAATCGGTGGCTGCCGGCTCGTACCTTCTCTACCAGCTGCTGCACTGCGATGTGGAAGAGCTCCAAGTGATTGTCCACTGTTTTGGGGATACGGCGTACGTGTTTGACAAGACCACCAAAACCGTGACAAAATACGAGGGTAACAAAACATCGAAGATTGTTTTGGGTGGTTTGAGGCAGCGTGGGATGAAAGGGTACATTATTTACGATGTGGCAAAGAAGGGAACACCGCCCGAAACAGGTTTTGCGCCCTCCACCGGATGGGGCATGATTGTGGTCTCATCGCCAAAGGTAAGCAACTATGATGAGTGGGAGAAGCAATTAAAAGCCAGGCGAATCATCATGAATTGTCCCGACGAGATGGATGTGAAGGCGATGTGCGCATGGATGAAGCGTGATGAGACTCCAGATAAGCAAGTGAAATACTGGAAGAAGGTCGAAGAACACATGGAAAAATTGGGGCCGATTCCACGTCACATCTTCGATGCGAATGAATATAGAAAACGCACGCAAGATGTTATGAGGGCCTTGAAATGGATCAATATTGGGGAGCAAAGAAAGTACTTTACAAAGGGAGGAGAGCAATGGTATTCCGAGGATCCGTCTCACAAACTTGTGAAGATTGTCCGAGTAAGAGAAAATGGCCCATTTGAGGAATTCAGTAATGCACCTATATGTACTTATCTTGGGGTTTTAACGTTATCTCGTTTGGCAAAGGCGCTGAGTCCGCATGATATTCTTTTCCTCGTATTGGGGATGAAGAATGTTCTTCAACCTGCAGATTTGGAAAAGTATGCTTTGACCGTATTCTTGAGTGTGGAGTTTGTCACTTCCATAGTGAAGGATCTCAAGGAGCTGCCGCCACCATCGCCTTCCGAAACACGGTCCTCGGTGCTAACGTTAAACCCTCATGGTTACCCCACCGAGGCAGCTGCAATAACTGAACTGAAGTTTATTAAAGGCCCGCAAGAATTAAAGTATCGGGTGCTGTACATACCGACGTTCCCAACCTTTCCGCTGGTGGACGGCTTTTTCTTCATGGAGTCACCGCGGAGGACGCTGGTCGGGCTGCGGATGACTACGGCGAGTGCGCATCACACGACAACCAGCACCGTGAATCTGTTCACTGAGTATCTGGCGGCTTATTTTAAAGGTTGGAACAAATTGTCCCCAGACATGTCGTGGGAGATGATTTATATACAACACGCAGACAGCACGCCGATGGAAAAATGGCAGAGATGTGATTACGTCAATCCCAAGAATGAAACCGACGCTGAAAAAAAAATTGTGGCGTTCTGGGACGGAAGTGTACACCAATACCGGGTTATGTTAAAAGGTAAATTTCCTGAGGAAATCAAATTTTCTCATGATGGTCTACCTGAGAGGGATGAAAAAGGCAAGAAAATTGAAAAAAATAAGTAGTATCAAAGTGCATTTTGTTTATGGTGAAATATATTGGGAAGTATTTTAACGATTTTTATATGTGTGTGCCTACGAGGTCTGGACAGGGAATGCCTTTCTTTCCAGAGAACCGTTGTGATCAGCAGTGCCACACTCACCACACCCTTTTTTTCATTTTATTTTATTTTATCCACCAGAGGCGCATCGTCACTGGAGGCTGTTGCGCACTGTAGGGACCGCATAATTTTTCTTTATTTTCATGGGATTTTGTGAAAAGAATGCTTGAGATGATGGCTGGCTGCCCAAATAAATTCATATCTTGCACAAACGAAGATATCTCTTCACAACTTTTTTCTTCTTTTATCGCACGGTCTTTTGGGAGACCGCGATTGAGGGAGTCAGGGAGCCGGCAGCTGCCAGACGAAAGGATTATTTTTTTTATTTTTATTTTTTATCTTCACAACCACCCACTTTGTGATTCCCAACTTGCGGCGTTTTTTTTCTGGCTGGAGGAGCCCCAAAGGCCTGCCACTTCGCAGGGGATAATTGTTTCTAATTCTAACTATGTGCAGAAGTCAACGCCAGTGATTAGCAGAATGTGTATACATTAGACACATTGGGGCAAACATTACGGAGAACTCACTACCTCTCCATTTACCGCTTTTTTCCTTTTTTTTTTTTTGGGTAATTACAGGATCCGGCCAGCTGCCCAGAAGATTTCTTCCTCGGTGAAGCTGTGCAGTTGTTTTCAGTGTCAGCGATGGGGCAAACACACAGACAACGTGAATAAAATATAAAAGGGCGATAATGTGGCGGTGTTGTGGCCGATTGCACGTTGCGTTGCTGCGGGGGCGGTGGGCCTTGACTGCTTCACCGACAGGCGTCGCTGTGCGGCTGCATGGCGCGCCGACCGTCCCGCCGTGCGAGTGCCACGCCCAACGCCATTGGGACTGCGGGACGAAACAGCCGCGACTGTCCTTTGGAGCCAGCGGCACCTGTGTTGGCTCCGACGCTACAGCTCGACATTTGGTGGGGAGTAAAGAGTGACCGCAGTGGACCCTTGACAGTCTGGTGGAAGATCTAATGCTAGACGGAGATACTCTCAGCACCAGCTTGAAGCTTAATATTTTTTTTTGGAATTGTATTGGCTCCATGGCGACCGTTGATGAAAGACTACAATGCGACGAGGGAGACGTTTATTAGG